GATGCGGGACTCGATCCCGGGACTCCAGGATCATGACCTGAGCCGAAGGCAGTCGCTTAACCAACTGAGCCACCCAGGCGCCCCTAACCAGGAAAGTTTCTAATCCTGGAGACCCTTGTGTGTGCCAGGACCTGGGGATGTGTGTGTCCAAGGCTGTGTGCCTGAGGACAGGGATCCCCACTGGATGGTGAAGGAGAAAAATCAGAATTTTGTGTCCTTTATCTTAACCCTCTTTGCTGAGATCTCCTGTTTAATGCAATGACATTGGTGACTATACCACATGGAAAGATGGGTGAGTGCATGGATTCGTGGGTGGACGGATCAAGGGCTGACTGGGTGGGATGGTAGGAGGCTGGCTGGCTGACAGGGATGGTGGAAGGACTATGAATGGATGACTGGGTGGGAAAGAGGGACTGTGGATAGATGACTGGGTGGGATGGTAGAAGGCAGGATGGATGGAGGGGGATGAATGGAAGGATAGATGGAAGAAAAGGACAGATGGGAGGGGGATGGGATAAGGATGGATGGAAGGATGGATGGATAGATGGAAGGATGGGTGGGAGGATGACTGCAAAGGATGAGTGGATGGAGGGATAGATGGTGGAAGTATTAAGTGGTTGGAAGGATGGCTAGTGGAAGGATGGATGGAAGAAAAGGAAAGAAGGATGAAGGATGGAAGAAAGAAAAAGGGATGAAGGATGGATGGGAGGATTGATAAACAAGCAAGGAAGGATGGATAGTGGAAGGAAGGATGGATGGACACAGCTGCAAATCCTACTAATGTCCAATACACAGCAAAGCCATCAGAAGGCTGTAGGGTGGCAGAAGGAGTAGGCTTGGTAACCAGAAACCACACACCAGTCTGGTTTTGCCCCTTACCAGCTGGTCCCACATCATGGGCTGTCGCATCCCTTCCTGGAAACCCTAGACCCGAAGCCACCCTTGAAGCTGGGGCCCCACTCACCGGGGACAAACTCCTTGAACGCAGGGCTATGGTGCAGCTGAGGGTGCCAGTCGTGGGTGTGGGCACCATGTAGCCACGGAGGAGGAAGCTGAAGCGCACGTCCCCACCAGGGCCTGGGGACAGCAGGCTTACACAGCTGCCCTTGGCGGTCTGGCTCTGGATGAGTTCCACGGTGTCTGCGTCAGGCCCCAAATCCAGGTGGCAGCTGTCCAGCTGGAGCATGAGCTCCGGGATCGATGGGGACATGCTCACCTACATGGGCAGGTAAGAGTGACAGCGCATGGTCAGTTACTCAGTGCTGCCCTCGTGAAATACGCTAGATTCATTCTGAGGCTCCACCCTGGCGGTGGAAGGACAGCCCTGGGCCCGCCTAGAGCAAACTCTAGGAGGGGACATTCCACCCAGTGTCTCTGTGCTGTCTCTCCCATCCGCCATGTACCCCGCCGGCTCCCTCCTCTGGGGGGTCCGGTGCACACCTCCCCTCTACTAATGGTGCAGTGAAAGGCTGAGAATCCCAAGAGTGGGCGGGCCTGAGAGGTCAAGTCCCGTACCTGCACAAAGCCCTGTTGCCCCAGCTCGATGGTGTGGGAGACCTGGAGGAAGTGCGGGCTGAGGTACAGGCCCAGCTGGAAGGAGAGGCTCTCCATGTTGATGCAGTGCACCTTCTTCTGTGGGAGATATGGGGGCATGGTCAGTCTGGGAGGCATCCAGCTAGAAAGGTAAGGGGTGGGGGTGGGAGCGCAAGCCATGGTCCCCAGTTGCTGCCTGGCCCTCCTTTAAAACAAAGCTAATCTATCAAGAACTTGCTCTGTGCCAGGCCTGGGTGAATGCTTTCCCATGTGTCCTGTCAGTGACTGCTCATGAGCACCCCCACGGCAGAGATCCTTTTTTAGGCCCCTGTTTACAGATACAGCCTTTGGGTCCAGAAAGCTTAACTGATTTGTACAAGGCCACACAGCCAGTATGTACTAGAACTTTCTGGCTTGAGAGGCTGAGAATGGAACCCAAAACAGTGCTGCTCCCCTTGTACAAAAGGGGAGGCTGAGGCACCCTGAAGATAACATGGCTTGCCGGGATCGGGGCCTGAGTTTCCTGAGGCCTGCTCCCCTCCCAGGCCAGGAAGGGGCACCAGGACCCTGAACCAGATGGGTTAGCATGGTAACCATCCATCTCACCCACTGCGGTGATGAGCTTGACAAGAGGTTGACCACCACCTGCAGAAAAAGAGCCAAGGAACAGGTCAGAGCCAGGAAGTACCCCAGAGGGTATCCCACCCAACACACCCATTTTATGGATGCGGGGACTGAGGCAACCAATGGCTAATAGGCTTGTCTTCCTACTGAGCACCACACCCCCCTCTCCCAAAGGCCCACTGGCCTGGAAGGTCAAGGAGGCACCAGCTAAGCTGGCTGATACCTTTCCTGCCCGCCCTTTTTCTTACCTCATTCCTGACCACATTTTCTGTCACTTTCATGCCACAGTTGGAGTAGGTGCTGCGCAAGACAAACTGGTCATCTCTGTCCTCAGCCTGGCAGCTGGGGTCCGAGAAGGTCAGGCTTGTGATGGTGCACCTCAGAGTCTGGGCCAGGGTTGGAGTGGAGGGGCAGCGTCAGGAGGTGTGTGGGGGGCTTTCTGGAGCCTGTCCCTCACACCCCAGCACCAAGGACTGACCGAACTCAGGGCTCCCAAATCACAGCCATTCCTCTCCTCCCCTCTTAATTTTTGTTAGATCTTATCAGACTACACCATTTAAGATAATACTTTTCCTGAACTACACTCACTGTTGTACTTAGCCTTGTCCTAAGCAATAATATCTGTGACATCATGAGCTTGATTTGCTACTTTTCTCCTAATATGTGTAATTAGAATAAATGCAGATGTATTAAAAACATTCATTTGAGTTCTACATATAATCATTGCCCACAGCCCCATAGGCATGGAGAGCCCACCAGCATAATCCAGTCTCAGAACCCTAGACTCTGGGGTGCCTGGGTGGCTCCGTCGGTTGGGTGTCTGCCTTTGGCGCAGGTCACAATCCTGGAGTCCCCGGTTGGAGCCCTGCATTGGGCTCCCTGCTCAGCAAGGAGTCTACTTCTCCCTCTGCCCCTCACCCCACTCTCTTCCTCTCTCTCAAATAAACTAAAAAAACAAAAACGAAAACCCTAGACTCTTAGATCCAGAGTTGGCAAATTTTTCCAATAAAGGGCTGGATGGTGAATCTGTTAGCTTTTGTGGGTTATGTGGTCTCTGTTGTAATTAACCCAACTTTGCCATCAGAGCCTGAAAGCAGCTATAGAACATATGTAAATGACTGGGTGTGGCTGTATGCTAATAAAACTTATTTACAAAAACACGCAGAGGGCCACAGTTTGTCATCTCCTGTCCTGGTAGAATCAATCTTAGAATTTTTCAGTCACGCTCTTAGGATCAAAGAATCTTGGCGTCTTTGAGTTGAGTGAGCTGTTGGAGTTCCCGCTTGAATCCAGCTAACTCACCTCTCCAGAATGCCACCCTGACTGCGCTCCTCCTCAGGTAGATAACACCTGAGGAGAGAACAGCCCACCAAATAAAAATGACTCTGGGTGAAGCCCCAGTGACACATACCCTGGGATCCAAATTCTGCACACTGACCCCATTTCTTAAGTCAATGAGAGGGCAGAATGTTCCATGTCGGGGTGATTCTGTTCAGACCCTTTTCTTTGTATTTTCTTCTATATGGATGCTGTACTCAGAGAAAATGGCAGGGGTTTTTTTGTTTTGTTTTAATTTGGACTGGGCAGCAGTCATGCCGGCTAGTGCTGACCCTGCACCTGCACTTCCTGGCAACTGCCAGGCCAGATGGAGGTAGAGGGTAGAAGAGATGGGTAGCAGACAGGTGATACTTCATATCGCCCCTGTACCCCACAGCCCCCAAAAACGTCCATGTGCACTTAACTGTAGATTCAAGTGTCATTCTAAAGATCCCTGAGGTCATGGGTGATTTGTCAAGGCTCTGGCTGAGATTTCCTGCCTCAGTCCAGGAGAAATCACACAGGGGAAGATGGGCACCTAGGATGGCCCAATGTTTTAAAATGTCCCTAAACAAGGGCAACCCTATCAGGACTCCTCTCACTCTTGAGAGCTTTTTCTGTATCTTCACTTAATAAACTTCTATCGCTTTACTCACAAAAAGATAAAAATAAATGTCCCTAAACACAAAAATCACTGTAGCCAAACTTTAGAATTATAGTAAAGATAAATTATTTCAAATTAGAATGGTGGACGAAGGGTCCCAACTTTTTTTCTTTATGTGAAATGCTTATAAAAATCAAGAAAAATACTGAGCTATGTTGATAAAGAGCCTTAGGTTATTGTAAGTCACATGGAGTCATGCCCACACTCACTACTAATCAAAGAATTATAAATTGAAACAAGAATGGAACACCATGTCCCACCTCTCATGTTGGCAAAGGTTTTTTTAATTTTTAAAATTTTTTAAAAAAATTTTTTTATTCTTATGTTAATCCCCATACATTACATCATTAGTTTTAGATGTAGTGTTCCATGATTGTCTGTGCATAACACCCAGTGCTCCATGCAGAATGTGCCCTCCTCAATACCCATCACCAGGCTAACCCATCCTCCCACCCTCCTCCCCTCTAGAACCCTCAATTTGTTTTTCAGAGTCCATCGTCTCTCATGGTTCATCTACCCCTCCGATTTCCCCCCCTTCATTCTTCCCCTCCTGCTACCTTCTTCTCCTTCTTCTTCTTTTTTTTTCTTAACATATATTGCATTATTTGTTTCAGAGGTACAGATCTGAGATTCAACAGTCTAATTTTTAAAATTCTATTACTTTTTTTTAATTTTTATTTTTTAAGCACACTCTGCCACCCAATGTGGGGCTTGAACTCATGATCCCAAAATCAAGAGTCGCATGCTCCACCCACTGAGCCAGTCAGGCGTCCCAGCAAAGATGTTTTTTTTTTTTTTTAAACAAAGATAATAGTCTGGAGAGAGAAATCAAAGTGCTCTCCTAAATTGGCAGTGAAAATTGGAATCCTCTTTTGGAAAGCGGGTTGGCAACATGTATCAAAACTTACAGAATATTCATGCATTCTGACCCAGCAATCTCACTAATGTGGAAATCTAGCCTAAGAAAACAATCCTACATAAAGAATGCCTGGTGATATTTTCTGTGTATTTATAATGTCGCACAATTGGAAGCAACCTAAATGTCTAACAAGGGAGGAGTTAATTATAGCATGCCAATATGATGAAATAATTTGTGATTAAAGCGACATTAAGTACATATGTCAAAGTTCTAAAAATACAGTAAGTGAATATAGCAGGAGACAAGTGCATTGGAGATGATGACACCATATAAGAAATACACAGAGGACACATTCCAGAAAGAAACACACTAAAATATTGGTAGCCACGGTCTTTGGGCAGGAAGGTTGAGATTTTCTTTTCTAATTTTTCACATTAAAAAAAAAAAAACAGCATTGGGGCATGTGGGTGGGGGTGGCTCAGTCGTTAAGTATCTGCCTTCGGCTCAGGTCATGGTCCTGGGGTCCTGGGATCAAGTCCCACATCGGGCTCCCTGCTCAGCAGGAAGCCTGCTTTTCTGTCTCCTACTCCCCCTGCTTGTGTTCCCTCTCTCGCTGTCTCTCTCTCTGTCAAGTAAATAAAATCTTTAAAAAAAACCACACAGTAAGAAATGAGTGGTTGGGCACCTGGATGGCACAATCAGTTGAGGGGGTGACTCTTGGTTCCAGCTGAGGTCATGATCTCAGGGTCGTGGGGTCAAGCCCTGTGTCAGGCTCCACGCTCAGCGTAGAGTCTGCTTGCGATTCTCTCTCCCTCTACCCGTCCTGCTTGTGCTCTCTCTCTCTCTCTCAAATAAATAAATCTTAGAAAAAAAAATGTGAGTGGTAGATTAAATAAAACTATTGAATCAACATTAATTCCACCAAAGTTGCTAACTGTACTGTTGTTATGTAGGAGAATATCCCTGTGCTTAGAAAATACACACTGGAGTCTTTATGTATAAAGAACCATGAGGTATAAAGTCTATGCTTAAATCAGTCAGGACAAGTTATATACAAGCATATATACATACCCATGCATGTGTGAATAACATATAACACGCATACATATATAATCCTACGTTATGTGTTTCTATCTATACATTCTTGCGATATGCATGCAAATGGTTGTGTGTATAGATTTATATATCTCCCCATGATATGAAATAATTTTATCTGAGCAAAGGGTGTACAAGTGGGCTGTTTGTACTATTCTCATTCTTACAACTTTTCTGTGAGCTTAAAATCATTTCCAAATAAAAAGTTCAAAAAATTGCTCTCGTTTCCTACATGACGAGTGGACTGGGGATTGGTTGGTCCGTCTGCTTCCCGAAATTATTTGGCTAAACCTCTGCCTGCCCAGCGACCCAGCAGCTCCACCTCTGGGCATGTACCTAATTGATATGAGTGTTTATGTCAACCTAAGACTTGTACCGGAAGGTACATAGCCGTTTATTCTTACTTGCCTCAAATGGGAAACAACCGCAATGCTCCTCAACAGTAGAATGGATAAATGAACGGTAGCTCATTTATAAAATGAATAAATACACACAACACCACAGTTAAACCTCAAAGCTGTAACACTGAGTGTAACAAGCGAGACACAGAAGAGTGCCCATTATATGGTGACTGTCAAATAAAGAAAATCTTTAAAAGATTTTATTTGACAGAGACAGCAAGAGAGGAAACACAAGCAGGGGGAGTGGGAGAGGGAGAAGCAGCCTTCCCGCTGAGCAGAGAACCCGATGCGGGGTCGTCCCAGGACCCCAGGATCATGACCTGAGCCGAAGGCAGACGCTTAATGACTGAGCCACCCAGGCACCCCATAAATAAAATCTTTAAAAAAATAAAAAATCCAGTGTTATTCTTTTTTTTTTTTTTAAGATTTTATTTATTTATTTGAGAGAGAGCACATGAGAGGGGGGAGGGTCAGAGGGAGAAGCAGACTCCCTGCCAAGCAGGGAGCCCGATGCGGGACTCGATCCCGGGACTCCAGGATCATGACCTGAGCCGAAGGCAGTCGCTTAACCAACTGAGCCACCCAGGCGCCCAAATCCAGTGTTATTCTTATAGTAAATACCCTTGTTCTTCAGTCGGGCAGAGATCACACTGTATAAATATTGTGTTGAGTGCCCGCCGGCCTCAGCCTGCATTTAGGATTAATTAATGATGACTAGTACCTGTTTGCTGAGCACTTACTGTGCACCACATCTGGCTTAGCGTGTCAGACCTCATTTAATTCTTCCTGCACGGCAGTTACCATTATCAAACCCATTTCACAAGTGGAAAAACTGAGGCTTGCAGAGGGATGGGATTTGTCTCCCTGCCTGGGTCAGGACCCCAAGACTCTTGGCCTAAAGGAAGGACCAGCTACCCACGTCCCCAGGGGTTCCCTTACCGAGATGAGGTCTTTCTTGAGCACCACAGTCATGACATCTTTGGAGCAGTTGGGCTGGATCAGGGACAGGAGCAGCTCCTGGTTGCAGCTCTCCTTGGGAGGGGTGGTCCGGACGGGTGGGGGAGAGGTCTGCGGCCCACCACCTGCCGGGCAGCAGAGGCCGGCAGGCAAGTCACTGAGCGCTCCCTGGGCACCGGGCACCGAGTGCTTCCCTAACTAGCGACTTTCACTGTCCTCGCCTGCAGACGGGGAAGATGGGGTTCCCGCCGGCTGCCGCAAGCACCCTGCTCACACAGCGGTCCCAAGGCCGCTGATCCCAGGAGAGGGCAAAGGAAGGGAAGAGGGTGCTCACCGCAGCTGTGGGCCTGCAGTGAGACGACACTGGCCAGAGGGAGCTCCACAAAGGACGCTACCATGCTGGCGTTGAGTCTCCGGGCCTCCCCTAGCAGGCCTTGGGGTGTATCCGGGAGCACGAAGCCACGGATGTTCTTCTCTGGAAAGATCTTGAAGGAGTATTCACCAGTGGTCTAATGACAGAGCAGGGAGCCACAGACACAGTCAGGGGGGCATGCAGCCTGGCAGGGGCGCCACCAGGGCCAGCCAGGGTTATGCCAGGCCTCGGTGCCACTCTATCCTTTGCTCCTACTTGTTTCCTCCCCCTGGGCCACCTCCCTCATCTACCGACTCCTGCTTGTCCTTCAAACCAGCTTGGGGTTCGCTTCTCCAGGAATCTTCCCTGGCCCTGTGGGCTGGGGTAGGGGCCTTCCTAGGGCATGATGGAAGGCTTCGAGCAGGAGGTAGCATCTGGGTGAAGGTTTGAAGAATAGCTAGTGCACAGAGCAAGGGGGTGGGTGTGTAAGGGCTCAGGGCTGGGGTGCTGATGCCGGGAGTTTGGGTTTTCTCTCCGGAGAGCCTTGGCGAGGCCTGCGCCCGGCTGTCTGGGTCGCGGAGCAAGACTCACCCAGATCTGCATGTTGTGGTTGGCGTCGATGAGCCAGGACACGTAGGATGGACCTTGCAGGATAAGCACAGCGTCGGGATCCCCCGAAGCACAACGCAGCTCCACCTTGACGGTCACTGTCCGGGGCCTGCGGGGAGACAGACCCCGGCGTCAGCGTGGGGCAGGAATGTGGGGTTGGGCGGGGCCTGATGTAGACTGGTCGGGCGGGGACTAGGCCTGGGGTCAGGTGGGCAGCAGCTGAGCGCTTTCACCTGGTCACTGTCGGCCGGCGGGAGGGGCGCGGAAGTGGGCGGGGCTTGGCCAGCAGGGGCGGGCCCCAGAGCTAAGGTGGCGGCAACGACACTCTTACCGAGCCAGGGATGGGCGGGGCTTGGTGTGGGCGGGGCTTTATGTGGGCGGGGGCGGGCACCCTTACCCGGCCTCGGTGCCTGGCAGGACCCTCACGATGTGCGCTTCCTTGTGGCCAGGCACACCTTCCAAATGGCAGCCCCGGACAGAGGCGCGAGTGAGCGGGCTCCATTCGAGAGTGTGGCCCATGTCCGTGAGGGGTTCCGGATTGCAGGAGGATGGTACCCTCGGGGCTGTGGGGACAAGCACAGCTCAGTTCCCTCCCTGAAAAGCCTGGCACTAATACAGAGGCCCACCCTCACCCACAGTAAAGGGGGAGGTGGGCAGGATGGAGCAGCAAAGAAGTGGGGTGCCTGGGAGGACCTGAATTGAAATCTCCCCTCCACCACTTACTGCCATGTGACTGGGGGCAAGCCCCCTGGCCTGTTTCCTCATCTGTGGACACAGGGTTAATAAAGGCACGAACCCACGGCACGTGTTAGGTGTGCAACCCCGAGAGCACCAGCACATCCCCTCACTTTCCTCTTTCCTGTGGCATTTACCATGACCGGAAATTGCGGAATTTTTGAAATTATGCAATTACTCTGGAATTACTATATGGAATTGTAATTATTCAACTATTATGGAATTATGGAATTATTCATCTGTGTACATATTTACTGTCATCTCCTCACCAGTGTTGGCTCCAGAACGGCGGGATCTGGGTCTGTCTGCACAGAGTCCCCAAATGCCTAGCATAGGACTGAGCACATAGTAGGTGCGCAATAAATAAAAGTGCTGCTTTCTAGGCCAAAAATTACTGTCCCCATAGAGCACGGACTTGTTATATGTGACCTGGGGCAAATCACATCCCATTTTGGAGCCTTGATGTCCACATCTGAGAATGGGCCAGGAGAATTCACATTTCTTCAGAGCTGAGTCCTGAGCCCAGAGAAGCTGCGGGGGAAGCTGACCTTGGTCCAGACGGAGGAGGATGCTTTGAGGGTCGCTCAGCTCAGCGATAGATGCAATGGGGCCCTTCGTTTCTGCCCAGTCGAGGAACTGCTTCTGGGTGGTGAAGGGCGGCAGCTGTGTGGTATTGACTCCTGGGTGCCCTTGGAAGATCAGTTTGGGGTTCTAGGAAGACACAGGGGGGCTCAGGGTGCTGTTCCTGGGCCCGAGCCCCCTCTGTCCCATTCAGGAGGTTGGGAGGTAATTTGGGGAGGCAGCCAGTTGGCTGAGAGGAGGAGGCAGAGCTGAGAATGCTGAGGTTGATAGATCTGAAGTCAACCCAGAGCCCTTCCACACCTGGTGCTGGACGGAGTCACATCCTTATTCATCCAACTGTCCAAACATCACCTCCCCACCCCTCCACAGTCTTACTCATACCACCCACACTTGTGACATCATGTGGCTAGGGTCTGTGAGACACAGCGTCTGCCCTGCCTAGCCCCGCATGGTGCCGGACACGTAGTAGGCACTGGGAAATACTTGACTCTCCTGACACGTCAGCTTTACCCACACACCTAGCACACAGCAGGTGCTCCCTGCACAAGGGGAGGGAAGAAGGGAGGGAAGGAGAAACAGATGAATAAATGAATGAATGAAAGCCTAACGGGGATTGTCCCTGCCCTGGGGGGATCTTGCCATCCAGAAACTAGTCCTGCCTCAAGTCACTTGAAACACCAGAAGACAGAGGATGTTATTTAACAGAAGCAAGGGAACAAGACAGGCCTCTGGATACACAGGGATGGGAACGTGGGTGACTCTAGCACCTCACCGCCTCTACTGCCCGGGCCTCAAGGAGAGACCGTGGTGGAAGGAAACAGGGAAGACTTCCTGGGAGAGGTGTTCTACCGGGGCCCCAGACTCAGAGTTCCTCTGCATTCCATCTTCAAAGCCAGGGGCATTGCTCTGAAGCAACAGCAGGATAAGGGCTTCAGGCTAGATACTAAGGGGGACTGCCTGACAGTGGCAGTAGACAAGATACCATAGAATGGTCCACCTAGAATGGAGCAGGATTTAAGTAAGGGGGCAAAGTGATGAGCGCCTGGGTGAGGAACTCAGACCCCACGATGGAAGGGCTGGGCAGTGTTTTAGAGCGGGAGGAGGTTAGGGACCTTTACCCAGTCTGACTCCCAGGGTCATCATCTGTAAAATGGGGATGTGACAGGGATTAAAGGCGAGGCGTTTTGTCAGTCACCTGGTGCTGGGTCAGACACAGGCCCAAGCTGCAAACCCAACTGTGATCCCTCTGGTGGAGTCCCCGCCCCCCTTCAGGTAGCTGTAACCTCCCCTCCTCACCCCCTGCAGCTCCGACAGTGCCCCACCCCCATCGCCCGACTATTCTTAGCTCTGAGGAGGAGGAAGGCCTGGTCCAGACCAGAGCCAGCAGCTGCCGCGACCTTCCTGCCCTGCGTTTCATATTCCCTGTGTCACCCTGGGCCCCACTGGGGCTCAGATCCCTGCCTGCAGGGCCCAGGAACGGGAAGGGGAAGGGGGGGGAAGAGTTAGGGGGAGGAGGAGCCCTGGCAAGCCCTGGCTCCCCACGGGGCCTCAATTTACCCCACTGGGAACAGAGGGAAGTTCCACATGGAGCTGGTCCAGTTCATGGCTCCCTGGCCCTGTCCGTCCGTCTCTGCTGTGCCTGCTTCGAGCCTGGATTCCTCACCCCACCCCCAGCCTCTCTCCGTCTCTGGGCCTGTCTCCCAGGCAGCCCTGGATCTGGGTCTGTCTTTGGATCCCAGCTCTCCTCCTCCTCTCTCTGAGTGCCTATCTGTCCCTCCCACAACAAGCTGGCTCTTCCTAGTTCCATTTTTCTTGGTGTTTCTCTCCCCCTTGTTAGCTTTGCTGTCCGCCCCCACCCCTGCCCTCTGCTTTCTCTGGCTGTAAACAGCAGCTGCTTGCATCTGGGGACCACCTCCCAGGGCCTTCCAGTGGGGGAGGCAGTGCCCACAGGCCACCCCACCTCCTCCAGCCCTGACCCCCACTCCTTGCTGTGGGTCCCAGCCCGTTGACCTCTCTCTGGTGGACGTGCCTGACACTTAAAACTGGAATTTTTGCAAAATATTTTTTCTCCAATGTAGGCCGTGTTCATTAGAGCAAATCTTGCAAATTCAATGAAGTATAAAGCACAAATAAATAAATGCCTCTCCCATTCCCATGTCCCCGCCATAGCCACGATTAATACATCGTTAGGTTTCCTTTTCCTTTGTACTTAAATATTTTCAAACATATCTTGTAACTTTTTCAAAGACAGTGACAAGATTACTTTATGGGAGGTCACTGGATCCAATTCTGCCACTGGGCAGATGGGAAGACCAGCTACGCAGGAGGACTGGACTTGGCCAGGGTTGCCCATCAACCTGACTCCCACATCTGGGTTTGGACTCTTCATCCCAGATCCTGCTGCCTGGGTTCTCTCAGGCAGGGCCCCATGGGATTCACCAGGCAGGGTGAATAATGTCACGGTGAATAATGTCAGAATGAAAAAGAGAAGCAGCGTTGCTGGGGCAGGAGAGCTTGGCCTACAGAGACAGACAGCAGGGGCCTTCCATGGCCAGAGCCTCAGCCCACGGTTGGAGGTAACACACTCACGAAGGCCAGGTTGAGTGGGATTCCTGGGGCCTGTAACTGCAGGAGCATGTTCTTGTTTGCACTGAGGACCAGAAGCACCTCTCGGGGCCGAGTGTCATTTTGCTTGGACTTCTGGATAGTCAGCTCCAGCTCTGACACCTCCTAGGGTGGGGACAGGAGAAACACACACACACAGACCAGTCAGGCCTGCGCAGGCTGTGCCACCCGGATCGGTAGTAAAGACTCACTCCTCAGCAGCTTCCTCTCTTCTCTCCCTGCCGCACTGGGCTGCCCCTGCCTCCCAGCGCCCAGCACTGTGCCTGGCTGGCGGGAGATGCTCAAAAAATATTTGCTGAGGGGCGCCTGGGTGGCTCAGTCGTTAGGCGTCTGCCTTCAGCTCAGGTCACGATCCCAGGGTCCTGGGATCGAGCCCCACATCGAGCCCCACATTGGGCTTCCTGCTCGGCGGGAAGCCTGCTTCTCCCTCTCCCACTCCCCCTGCTTGTGTTCCCTCTCTCGCTGTCTCTCTCTCTCTGTCAAATAAATAAATAAAATCTTTAAAAAATATATATTTGCTGAATGGATGAAGGCAATTGGTTTCATCAAATTCAGAGATTTTAAAAAACTGCAAGAAGCCTGAACTTTATCCAACAGTAGATCAAAGTTTGCCGGTTCCCCGGCGCACCTGCTCTATGCCAGGCCTGTGAGCATCTACGCGACTTGGATGGTACCCTGTGCCCTTTCTCTGGTCCTAGGCAACGTGTCAAGGCATCAACCCCATCCCAGTTTCCTGCATTCCTGTTTGCCTTCCTAGTTTAAAGTACTAAAATGCCCATGTTTTTGTTGATATAATACCATCATTTTGATATAAGACTGTGAACTCGAAATCATTACATCCTGACAAATACCTACCACATGAAAAGGGTTAATTTATCATGGTGTGTGCATTTAGAACGCCTTCATAACCACCACCACAACCACATCCACAGGAATAAGAAAACCTAACCCTTGCAGAGTGCTTGCTATGTGCCAGGACTCTTCTGAGTGCTTTACATATTGACTCATTTAATCCTCACAACAACCTTATTCTCACTTAACAGATGAGAAAATGAGGCACAGAAAGGTGAAGTCATTTGCCTAGGATCACACAGCAAGTACGCATACAGCTAGGATGTGGATCGGGCAGACCTCTGCTCTGACAATATGGCCCCCCAACATTTTTCTACACCTCCTCATTCCCTAGAAGGAAAAGGACACAGCGATCCCCAAGGCAAAGCTCTATTGAAAGAACGACCTCAGGGGCGACTGGGTGGTGCAGTTGGTTAAGTGTCCAAGTCTTGGTTCCTGCTCAGGTCGCGGTCTTAGGGTTGTGACATCAAGCCCTGCGTTGGCCTGTGTGCTCAGCATGGAGTCTGGCTTGAGAGTCTCTCTCTCCCTCTCCCTCTGACCCTCCCGCTGTGCTCTCTCTCAAATAAATAATTTTTTTTAAAGATTTTATTTATTTATTTGAGAGAGAGAGAATGAGAGAGAGCACATGAGACGGGGGAGGGTCAGAGGGAGAAGCAGACTCCCT